AGGAGCAAGAAGCAGCAAAGCCAACAAACCATTCCCAATGCCTTGATCCCTTGGGACTCAAAGAATCCCAAATTGGGATCCCAAACTGGGACATGAGAACTCCAATTCCTGCTCAGGGAGGCTCTCACTCCCTCCTCCCAAAATCCCACAAATCCCAACAATTGTCACACTCCAAGAAAGGAGCAAAAAGCAGCAAAGCCAACAAACCATTCCCAATGCCTTGATCCCTGGGGCTCAAAGAATCCCAAAATCCCAAAAATCCCAACAATTTTGTCACAGGAGCAAAAATCAGCAAAGCCAACACACCATTCCCAATGCCTTGATCCCTGGGGCTGAAAGAATCCCAAAATCCCACAAATCCCAATAATTTTGTCACAGGAGCAAGAAGCAGCAAAGCCAACAAACCATTCCCAATGCCTTGATCCCTTGGGACTCCAAGAATCCCAAATTGGGATCCCAAACTGGGACATGAGAACTCCAATTCCTGCTCAGGGAGGCTCTCACTCCCTCCTCCCAAAAATCCCACTCTCCTAAAAATGGGAAAATGAACCCCAAGGATGAAAAATGTGCCAACAAACCTCCCCCAGCTCCTTCCCTGAGCAGGGAAATGTGGGATTTGTGGAAGTTTTACCTTCACAGGTGGGTGGGGGTCCCTCAAACTGCAGGTGGGTGCCCAGCTTGCAGGTGAGGATTTCGTTCCCGATCAGGGTGAAGCCGGGGAGGCAGCGGTACCTGACGATGTCACCTGGGGAGGGATGGAAAACAGGGATGGGAGGGGGAAATGCCCCAAAAAAAAGGGGAATGAGGATGAGGAGGACGAGGGAAGGCTTTACCAATGTTGAACTCCTCGTTCTCTGTGATGATCTCGGCGTTGGGAACCATGGTGGGAGGCTGGCAGCGGAAAAGCTGGAAAGCTGGGGAAGCAAGGGAGGAGCAGAACATCCTGAAAACGGCCATGATGGAAGCAGGGAAATTCCTCCCTCCCCACAAGGAAATTCCTCCTTTTCCACGAGGAAATTCCTCCCTCTCCATATGGATATTCCTCCCTCCCCACCAGGAAACTGCTCCTTTTCCACGAGGAAATTCCTCCCTC